TTGGCAAAGATGCGGTTTAGTTGCGTCAGCGGCATGTCCTAATGCGTTTTTTCTCTAAATTGTTTTAATGCATCAAATGAATGTTTCATCGTTGAACTCTTTAGGCCGTTGCTTATTACCGTTGCTTATAAATGCATATTTACTTTTCGTATAATTTGAGGAATAATAAAATAAATAATAATAAAATAGTCATAAAATAGTGAATAACAAAAGAAGCAATAGTATTTATTTGCTGTCCGATATGTAACTGAAATAACTACTTATAAATTGAAGTGTAATAATTTTGAAATGAATTTGCATGCATTGAAAACATGATTTCGAAATGTTATTCCGCTCAAACATATCGAGGATTCTTTTTATTTGAAATATGTGCGATTATGAACTCAAATATACATTAAATTTTCGCCAAAAATGAAAGTCACTGTTTGCATAAATGATGTTAAAGTGGTTGTTCCATGTGGAAATGGAAGCATTCTAATCAGAGAATTAGCAGAAATGGCTCTTTTAAGATTTCAAAAGTCCACTTCCTCCTTAATGCATGTAAGTCAGTGTGAATTTTGTTCAGCCTCTTGCTGTTTTCTTTATTTGGTTATTAATTTATTATATAATGAGTGTAGTAATTTATTGTAATTGAAGTATTAGTATTTCGAGATGACCGAATTACAAGAATCCGAACAAAACACAGAGAGGGCAGAACTCAGGAATTTGTATTTAGCGGAATTATTATGCAATTCATATAAGAAACATATCAACAGTCAACAGTAAGTATTTAAACAATACAGAGATAGAAACTGTCAATCACCACATCCGCCACACGTCGAATATCTCCTTGCGTATTTATAACGATGTCTCGGTTTGCTTGCAAGTAGCTGCGACCTTCTAACTGATTCTGTGATATTATTTTCATCAGTACTATCTGGACTTATTTCTGAATTATCTACAAAATCAGGATTAGTAGCGGAATCAATAATATCATAATTGGAACGACCTACTTCATTTATTGTCACTTTGTCCAGGTGTCCGTTATGAACTGAGTGATCTTTGATGTCTAATATCTTCACCACTCGATTTCCCATTTGTTGTAGTATAATTCCAACAGAAGGTCTATAGTCTTTCCCTTTGTAATAATGTACATTAGAAGTCGTGGACATCAGATGCTTTTTGAGAATTCGAGATTTGAAAAGTTTTGCAGGACTTTCACGGGTACTTGTATGCTCTGCATTCAACAAACTCAGTCTATGCATATGCAGTAGTTTCTCAATTTTAATCAGTTGCTCTCTCATCTCATTCAGGTCTTTTCATGTTTTCGACAGTTCACATTGTAACTCGGCTACCACATTTTTGAAAACATTTGATGCTTGCGTTGCTGAACTTGTAGTGGAGGTTTTCATCGGATTAGCTTGAGTATTTTGAAAGGTTGAAAGACACATTGACTCCATTTTACTAGACAGCTTGGGAGAATTATAAGAATGTTGAGCAACATAAGTATTCGAACTCCTGCAAACCGTCTTGATGTGTCCAACTTTACCACATTTGTGACACTTAGCACCCCGAAAACGGCAAGTGCTTCGTAGATGTAACTTTCCACAGGAAAAACACGGTTTAATGTTTTTGATCTCTCGCTGCATTCTATTACCTGTGGACGTCAGTTTGGATTTCTTTCCATTACCACTTGTATTTTCGACTTTAGAAAGCATAACATCAGACACTGACGTAGTGGGAGCAGAGTATTCATTATTGACATCTTCATATGTAATACATAAATCCTTAGCAGTTTGAAAAGTACAAGAAGGAATCTGAATTAACTCTTTCTCTAATTTAGGAATATTGATTCCAGCAATTAGACGATCACGTAGTTGAGTATGCAGCTGATCTCCAAAATTACACTTTGGATTCACTGAAAATGTCAAGATGGATACTAGATGGGGCCCTGATGGGAAGTCTTCTAGACTGGATTACGTGCTCACTAGTGACCAGCTACTAGTGGAAAACGTTCAGATCACGACTCCCATAGGTAGTAGTGACCACGCGGTCATAGTATTCGACATAGTCCTCCGCGAGCGCTTACAGTGGGACAATACACAGCCCTATCTGTGTTATAACAAAGCCAACTACACCAAAATGCGAAGACTTCTGTCTGAAGCAAACTGGCCTAAAAAATGGACAGAGCTAACAGTAGAAGAACACTGGAGAGTGGTAAAGGAATCATTCACCAGGCGGTCTCAGACACTGTTCCTTTAGTCTCACCAAAAGCTAGGAAGCAACGATCATGGCTGAAAAGGGGACACAACGCCTTCTGCAGGCAAAGCGAAAAGCCTGGTTCGCGTGGCGACGATCGAAGAGTCAACCCGAATATGAAGTGTACCTTGAACTCAGGAATCGATGTAACATACGAGTCCGGAGCGATAGAAGGACATTTCAGGGAGACCTCGCCAATAAGCTTCTCGTGAACCCCAAAAGCCTATACAGGTTTATGGCCGAAAGAAAACCGACCAACCAGGGAGCATGCAATCTAGTGGGTTCTGATGGGAAATCTCTTACTAGTCTTGAAATGGCAGAGACATTCAGCCTAGCCTTTCACAGGCAACTAAATAGTAACGAGGATATTACCCCTACAGAACATCCAGATTACATCGCAAAACCAACACACGAAAACCTGCTGGGGACATTTCAAATTACCCCGGCTATGGTACTTGCAAAATTGGGAAGGTTGGCTTCGGGAAAGTCTCCAGGTTGTGATGGCATCAGACCATCTGTCCTGAAGCAGTGTTCAGAAAGTCTCTGTCAACCCCTAAGTGATCTGTTCCAACACTCCCTTGATGTAGGGAAACTTCCATGTGAATGGAAACGTGCAATCCTATCCCCTATCTTCAAGGGTGGTGACCGGCAGAATGTGACCAGTTACAGACCAGTTGCTCTACTTCCAGTGGTATCGAAGATATTGGAAAGTCTCATTGACGACCACATGAGAAAATACTTCGATGGGACTAACCTTCTTCACGAAGCACAGCACGGTTTCAGGAGGGGAAGATCCTGCGTGACGAATCTTCTACTAGCCTGGAACGATTGGACACTATCCTGGGACAAAAAGGTACCAGCCCACGTGATCTTTCTCGACTTTGCGAAAGCATTCGACACAGTTCACCATGGTCTGCTCCTTCACAAAATAGGCAAGGCGGGAGTTTCTGGAGCACTTCTCGCATGGCTGAAAGATTACTTAGGCGAGAGAGAATTCTGCACCAAAGTCAACCGCATCCGATCATCCTGGCACACCTCGGCATCAGGGGTTCCTCAGGGTTCTATCCTAGGGCCGTTGATGTTTTTGATTTTTATCAATGACCTGCCCCCCAACTAAACTGCTCTGCGCTTCTTTACGCTGACGACGTAAAGATTTGGAGAGCAATAAACTCATCGGAAGACTCAGATAGATTGCAGGCTGACCTGCAAACTCTGGGAAATTGGGCTTTGGCTAACGGAATGCCTTTCAATCTAAAGAAGTGCAAAGTAGTGCAGCTTCATTCCGGCAGGTCACAGAGTGTAAATTACACCCTTGGTGGCCAGAACTTGAGTTGTGTTCCATCAGAGCGTGATCTAGGTCTTATTCTAACAGAAAAGCTAGACACCAGTGGAAATTACTCGAGGGACGTCGCCAAAGCCTACGCAACATTACACTTTATGCACAGGCAGCTGGGAGCTCTCACTCCCGAACTGTTCTTAAGGCTATACAAGGCATATGTGAGGCCACACCTTGAGGTGCATAATATCATTGCACCTCCGCTACTCAAAAGGGATGCTAACATTCTAGAAAGTGTCCAGAGACGAGCGACAAAATGGGTGATCGGCCTCCGCAACAAATCATATGAGGAAAGACTAAAGAAATTAGGTCTTTTCACACTTAGTTACCGTAGGCACAGGGGAGACCTCATCACCGTCTACAAGATCCTAAATGACCAGGCCCACCCAAATAAAAGCATCCTGCCATTAAGTGATTATAGGCTTCCACGAGGTAACCCGCTAAGGATAGCACACCAGAGACCAAAGACTCGAGTGCGATCACATTTCTTTTCGCTTCGTGTTTGCCGTCTCTGGAACGCTTTACCGGCGGCCGTGACTACAGCGCCATCTCTGGAGATTTTTAAGCGGAAGCTAGACAATCATGCAGAAATGCAAGGTTTGTGTCTCAATGGCTTATCCTCATAAAATTTGAAACCAAACTGTCAATGAATAAGCGTACAAACTAAATCCCCACGACCTATTCTGCCTTCTCTCACTCTATCTTTTCCTTAGGTCACCTTTATTATTCCACTTATCTCAACCTATATTATCTACACTACAACCTATTATTATTATATTATTATATTATTACTATTCTGCTTTTATGACTACACCGAATGACCAACGGGAGTTAGGTCAAACTCCATTCACGGCAGCAATACAGTCCTAACATACTGCATACTACAAACCACATCTCGACCAATCCCCGCACCACTCCTCCTGGAGTCTACCAGAGCTAAAGCAGTCGAGTGTCGGGACTTACTACGCAGAAGCTCACCGAAGATCTGGAACCTCTACCTCACAATCAAGAAGCGAGCTCAAAGAAATCACTGGTTTATACTAGCTCGTAATCAGGATATTGGATATTGGATTCTGTCGAACCAAACATTCTGAAAAACTAACACCATCAAATCAATGTGCACCGTGATGGTGAGCTAGCTAGAATGGTGGTCACATTACAACCTGACTGATAGAATTCAGTCTACACCAATCAGAGGAATAGACGCATCACACTAGTTACTACTGTCTAATCAAAATATTCTGAGAAACTGTTCAGAAGTATTTAGCTACCTATTTACTTTAAGGGCAAAACACTGCTTAAAAATTAAAATTTTGTTTCCAAAAAAGTCAGTTCATGTTTTGGCAAAGATGCGGTTTAGTTGCGTCAGCGGCATGTCCTAATGCGTTTTTTCTCTAAATTGTTTTAATGCATCAAATGAATGTTTCATCGTTGAACTCTTTAGGCCGTTGCTTATTACCGTTGCTTATAAATGCATATTTACTTTTCGTATAATTTGAGGAATAATAAAATAAATAATAATAAAATAGTCATAAAATAGTGAATAACAAAAGAAGCAATAGTATTTATTTGCTGTCCAATATGTAACTGAAATAACTACTTATAAATTGAAGTGTAATAATTTTGAAATGAATTTGCATGCATTGAAAACATGATTTCGAAATGTTATTCCGCTCAAACATATCGAGGATTCTTTTTATTTGAAATATGTGCGATTATGAACTCAAATATACATTAAATTTTCGCCAAAAATGAAAGTCACTGTTTGCATAAATGATGTTAAAGTGGTTGTTCCATGTGGAAATGGAAGCATTCTAATCAGAGAATTAGCAGAAATGGCTCTTTTAAGATTTCAAAAGTCCACTTCCTCCTTAATGCATGTAAGTCAGTGTGAATTTTGTTCAGCCTCTTGCTGTTTTCTTTATTTGGTTATTAATTTATTATATAATGAGTGTAGTAATTTATTGTAATTGAAGTATTAGTATTTCGAGATGACCGAATTACAAGAATCCGAACAAAACACAGAGAGGGCAGAACTCAGGAATTTGTATTTAGCGGAATTATTATGCAATTCATATAAGAAACATATCAACAGTCAACAGTAAGTATTTAAACAATACAGAGATAGAAACTGTCAATCACCACATCCGCCACACGTCGAATATCTCCTTGCGTATTTATAACGATGTCTCGGTTTGCTTGCAAGTAGCTGCGACCTTCTAACTGATTCTGTGATATTATTTTCATCAGTACTATCTGGACTTATTTCTGAATTATCTACAAAATCAGGATTAGTAGCGGAATCAATAATATCATAATTGGAACGACCTACTTCATTTATTGTCACTTTGTCCAGGTGTCCGTTATGAACTGAGTGATCTTTGATGTCTAATATCTTCACCACTCGATTTCCCATTTGTTGTAGTATAATTCCAACAGAAGGTCTATAGTCTTTCCCTTTGTAATAATGTACATTAGAAGTCGTGGACATCAGATGCTTTTTGAGAATTCGAGATTTGAAAAGTTTTGCAGGACTTTCACGGGTACTTGTATGCTCTGCATTCAACAAACTCAGTCTATGCATATGCAGTAGTTTCTCAATTTTAATCAGTTGCTCTCTCATCTCATTCAGGTCTTTTCATGTTTTCGACAGTTCACATTGTAACTCGGCTACCACATTTTTGAAAACATTTGATGCTTGCGTTGCTGAACTTGTAGTGGAGGTTTTCATCGGATTAGCTTGAGTATTTTGAAAGGTTGAAAGACACATTGACTCCATTTTACTAGACAGCTTGGGAGAATTATAAGAATGTTGAGCAACATAAGTATTCGAACTCCTGCAAACCGTCTTGATGTGTCCAACTTTACCACATTTGTGACACTTAGCACCCCGAAAACGGCAAGTGCTTCGTAGATGTAACTTTCCACAGGAAAAACACGGTTTAATGTTTTTGATCTCTCGCTGCATTCTATTACCTGTGGACGTCAGTTTGGATTTCTTTCCATTACCACTTGTATTTTCGACTTTAGAAAGCATAACATCAGACACTGACGTAGTGGGAGCAGAGTATTCATTATTGACATCTTCATATGTAATACATAAATCCTTAGCAGTTTGAAAAGTACAAGAAGGAATCTGAATTAACTCTTTCTCTAATTTAGGAATATTGATTCCAGCAATTAGACGATCACGTAGTTGAGTATGCAGCTGATCTCCAAAATTACACTTTGAAGCTTGTATTTGGAGTTGCAGAATAAAGTCTCGAATCTTCTGGTTGGGAGCAGGAACCAGTTTATTGAACTGAGCCCTCTCTCTGGTCTCAAAATTAGTTATATGTAATTGATCTATAAGAAGTTCACGGAGCTTAGCATATGGCAGAGATATGGGTTTATCTGGAAACGCCAGATTCTTCACTAGGCTATATGCATCAAGACCAACAGCAGTGATGAAATGTGCTGGTATTTTGTCATTCCGAGCATTCTTGGAAATGCACCATGCATCGAAGGATTCCAAATAATCAGCAATCTCCCGCGGAGAACCATAAAGAGGAAGTTTTCCGAGGTTATTTAGTTCCATAGCGACGCCAATTTGTAGTTATTTATTGTAATTGAAGTATAAGTATTTCGAGATGACCGAATTACAAGAATCCGAACAAAACACAGAGAGGGCAGAACTCAGGAATTTGCATTTAGCGGAATTATTATGCAATTCATATAAGAAACATATCAACAGTCAACAGTAAGTATTTAAACAATACAGAGATAGAAACTGTCAATCACCACAATGAGGATAGTTTAAAGAAGGCCAACTTATTTACTTTTTTTATTTATTTTTACTTATTAAACAATTCTTGGTGATTCCCTTGTGCTTTATCCACATCTGAGGTGGTTTTTAGAATTTAACTGTTTATTTTACTGTACTCAGTCGCTAAGCAGGAACATCATTTTGTGCAAAAACTCGTTCTTAATATATTCGTAGGGGTTGTACATTTGGACGCTTAATGCTTTGGTTATTCGTTTTGTTATACCATAGAACTATCATGAAACTGTACGAAAAATATCAATTTTTTGTTTCGAGGAGAGACAGTAGATAGACAGCTAGAAGGATTGGTTAAGTGATAATATAACGTCGTCTGTCTAAAAATAACAAAACAGCGTAAAACCATTTGCCATCTAGATGGTTGGAGAAGAAGAATTTCGTACTGTACTTATGAAACATTATTAGGAAACTAACGTTTCTTAAGAACTATTCAGTCAATTTGAAATATGAGTATCAAACCATTGACGAGCTAGGTTGCTTTTGAGTGAAAGATTATCCATTATCCAGTTTTCAAATATCCTACTGTATTTTGTTACTTCATTCTCCAAATGTATAAGTGTAAAGCTCATATATTATTACTGTGATTATTCTTATTGAGGCTATGGATTTCATGTTCCAGTCAACACACTTTCCTACAGTCACTATACAATACGATTGCATACGCCGAAAGACACTCATGTACTAACCTAATAATTACACATGTCCAATGAATTTTAAAACAGGCTTTTTGAAGCGAAGTGGATTTTTTACTTGATGAGGGACTGCAGAGTTAGGTGGATATCATTGAAAGTGCATAACCTTATTATTGGAAAACTGAAGTCTATTGTTTCCGTTGGATTTATCTGAACATGGCGATGCCCATTGAGAATGAGGAATCTGACGAATTGTTTTTTCTACTGAGAAAAATACCTCTGGGCATTGGTAGATGTCTGCGGACATCAGTTGTCACTACCTCAACATATAGCTTTCAGAATGTAGTTAAACCCTTATTTCGAAAGTATTATTATTCCTTTAATCGTTTTGAAATAGTTTCAAATGCTGGTCATCATATTCTTAAGATTGTAGCCACTATATTTGTTTAAATGGTTAAAGGCAATTGCTTCTACTGTTATGAAGGTGTGTATGCGGTTGCTGTCACAATAGTGTGCATGATTGCTAAGTCGAACTATAGAACTGTTCATGCTGCTTATATATTAATCGGAAATTGTTAGTTCTGTTATTAGGGGTCTTAAGAGTCTTGTAATACTGTATCTGAAAGAAATTTAGGACAGTTTTAATCCCTAAATATTTTCATATTTTGAACATTTTTGTAGGCGTTACTGTATTATTATTATTATTGTTCCCATGGGTTCCTAGTGGAACGTAGGGCTTCAACTGCACGTCTCCACTTACTTCTGTCTTGCTTCTGCTCTGCTTTTCACCCGCATCCATACTGTTTTAACTCCTCTTCACACGATCTCCTCCGTGTTACCCTTACACTGACGTCCCACTTGCCGCTTCACTTTCGGGTTCCACTCGAGTGATGGCCTGACGCGCACGCGATGGCACCCAGAGAGCGGCCTTCTCAGCAAGTGTCCAATCCATCTTTCTTCACTTTCTCTTTCATATTTGTTGGCTGGCGATTGGTTCTTGTTTTGTTTGTTTCTATAGTTTCTTGTTGGTGATTCTTTCCGGCCCAACCATCTGATCTTCATTATAGAGCCAGCGAAGACAGTTGTTGATGAAGGTCTGCAACAGGCTGTTGAAAATATTCTTTGTGACCCGCCCGCCAAGTTTCTGATCCGTATGGAAGAACTGACTGACTTGATGTAAGTTGTATTGAAAATCCGACCGAATTTAGTTGTTGATGCTGAGTGATGAAGATTTTCAGGTTGATGAATGTGTTTCTCGCCTTCTCGATTCTCTCTCGATTTGACATCCTCGTCCGTTCCGACTTCCTGTAGTTGAGACAATGCTCCTTAGATAAGTGAGTGAATGAGGTAACCTCTTTCAAATCCCTCCCGTTGATGGTGATTGGCGCTGGATGCCGCTGCTGTTGTTGTTGTTGTTGGTTGGTTATTTCCATAACAGACATTACTGTATTTAACTCTTATTTTTAATACTAATGAGTGAATTAGGTACAAATTTATGCAAGAAGAATGACTGACAGTTTCGAAATAAATAAAGTCATTTTAACTCAATCAAGTTGCTCTTTATCATTGTATAAACGTTTCTAGCTTAAATCGAATACTAAAGAGTAGGTAACTAGTACCATGCCTCCAGTGGCTTGCCTCCAACCATCTAATGGCGACAATTCAAAATGTACTGTTATGAAGAGCCACCCAACATGGTAGCCATTGCAAAACTTGACTGACAATAGAATTCAGTCTGTACCAGAACAAACTACAGAACTCATGAAACTAGTTACTTACTACTTAGTGTCCAGCCATAGCATCTAATGCAGTCCTGCCGGAGGTCAATCATCAGTCCGAATATCTCAGCAGTATCACATCTGATTGCAGGCAGCAGTGAGTAACATGGGTTCAAATCTGAGATGGGACATTAGTCCCTTTAAGGTTATGGATACGCCTTGCTGACTGATGATTGCCAACGAGCAAAAAACTTGGGTCCATGAAAACCTGATGATTGCCTCCGATTATCTAAAAACAGTTAAATCTCTCAACGACTACTTTAGTTAGTTGTATTAGTTTGGATAGGAATAAATCTGAGTGAAGCCTGCAAGGCAGTCTGTAGTCGACAGATATCTGAACTCTTGTGAGAAATGGTCTAAATCCATATTTTCTAACTCTCACAACACCTTCTTTATTCACACAACTCTCACTGACTCTCCCTTGCATCTCATCAGGTAGGACTAGAAGTCATTATTGAAGATTATATGCTTGCTTGTACAACTAAATACAAAACTCAGCGATATCATATCTAGCTCTTTAGCGTTCTATGTGATAGAGACACTCACTGTTAAGCGTTAAACTTAGAATTGACAAAATAATTGACTATTTTATCCTCTTTCATCCGTAATTTATGGTGACACTATTTTAATGATGATCTAATTTTAGCTAT